AGCAATTAGCATGACTACAATTATTAGCAAATCACAGGAATAGTAATACTTGAATAATATCGTCATTCGCATTATTGATTTTTACCTAAAATGTTGAGAATAGCTAAAATTATGGGCGGTTTCAATCGTCTGCCAAATGTGTCGGAAGTGTGTCAGGAATTAAATTTTAATTAGCGGAAAGTATATTTAAACGATCAAATGTGCTTGTTATAATGTACAGGACACGTGATTTTTTAAGTCAAAGAAAATTTTCAATAGTGAAAAAATGAGTTTGTCCAAACAACCTTCTAGTTTGCGTTAGTTTATTAAACTTTATTAAAGTAAATAGAGTTAATGTCCAAGCGTTTTCATGTTTTTTATTATGATATTTATTATCAACACATTAACGTAGTGCCGTTATATTATGGCTTATTTTAGAATTTACTCAATCATTGATTGAGGTCTTTACTTTGATTTATCGTAGTAATTTAGCATTACTACAATTATTAGCAAGTCACAGGAATATTAATACTTGAGTATTTCAACAATATCATAATTCGCATTATTGACTTTTATCTGAATTCACAGCCGCAGTAACTGCCAATGAAAGTATTCGTAAAGTAGTAAGAAAAATGAATAAATCACTAAACGAAAGTAAATAGATACTTATCTGAACCCGGCACTATCGCTATAAACTCAAAATAATCCTGATTACTCGAACCAAGTCTTTCCACGCCCGGATCGAAGCCTTACCAATATTAGGGTTGGTTATTATAGTAATAGTGTTCTAGTTTGGATAGTTTAGCTAGTATTAGTGTTTGTAGTGAGTTGCCATATTTCGGCCTAGCAACTTTTCCGATGCAACTCACATTTTTTCGATATACGTACGTAATAGCAATCTAGAGTATCCACCAATCGGGAAATCTTATAGCTCACCCACGAAAAATTTTACAGATCGTGATTTTTAGCCAATTAAATCGAGGGATCAGGAGTAACGTAAAAATCAAAACAATCGAATTAAGCGAATGATTCAAATCAATAAGCCACATCTTTAAGGTTAGGATTAAGGCCAAGAGAGGGCATAGGTTATGCCAAAATTTCGCAAGAAGTTTTTTTGTTAGATCCGGAAATTTTTTGTAGTTCCAATCGGGTGCAGTCACATGATCCTCGATCTTCTGATCTTGATTATTTTATTCTGGGGAATTGCTACCGACCAGGGACCCTAGAAAGTTGTTTTTAAAAACGGCAAAAAATGTTTTGGGCAATAGCAAAAAATGTTTTTTATTGTGATATCAATAAAATGCTTTTTTTATCGTGTTAAATTGCCTAATTTTGTTATTATTTTTGCTGATTAAAATTCGGAATGTTTCGATGCTACAATTAGGGTTGGGGGCACGGAAAACTTTTTGGGCATGCCCCCTGGGCATGCCTCTGTTTTAAGGGCATGCCCTATAGGCATGCCCCAAAATTTTTTGTATGACGATTTTTTTATATGTAAATTTTTTTGAAAAAAGGGCATGCCCCTAGGCATGCCCCCCTGGGCATGCCCCTGAGGCATGCCCTGGGACACCATGCCCCCAACCCTAGCTACAATGGAACTTTTCAGATGTTTCAGTAGGTATAGTTACACCAAATACGTGAATGTGATTGGCATATTAAAATAGCTGGCCAATCAAATTTTTGTGTAACTTACAATGCATAAAAAAGTCGTAATATTGTTTTATAGAGCAAAATTCACTAAAAATTGCGATTTATTGTTTTCTAATCTTTTCGAAATTTTTTAGGGTCCCTGCTACCGACACAGCAAAACACGTGCTTATCGACACAGCAAGTGACTAGCACTAACCTTAATGACACAGCATGGCCGGTACTATATTTAAGGTTAGTATTAGAATGTAGCAGAATTACGAATTATGTCACATGTTTGCTGTGCCAGTAGCAATTCCCTTTATTCTGAAGCACTATTTCTAGTACTATCTATTACATATTATAATACTTGCTGCTTAAATTACATTAATGTTTCAAAAGTTACAATGTCAGTAGTGAATGCTGTAACTCCATTACTTCAAAATGACTGCACCTCTAAACTGTATCATACATAATTTCTATATTCCAATATTATAAGAGATCTGGGTACTCTCTATAGTAAAATATAACATTTTTTTAGACTAGTTTTAGTTTTTAAAATTGTTTAGTTTTAATATAGCTAAACCAAACTGGTTTGTAACCAAACCAGACTAGTTTGGTTAAACTAAACTAGTTTAATTATATTGTAATTAAACTGGTTTTTAACAGTTTAAAAACTTAAACCTGGTTTTAAAATAACCAACCTCTTAAACCAAGTTTAACTTGGTTTTTGAAAAAACTTCCCCATCCCTAGCGTTTAGAATAAGGTTGAAGACTTGGCGATTATATAGTAAAATTGTTCAAGGAAAACTTTTTATTAGAGCACTAAAATTTAGGGTGTGTAACGGCCTATTAAATCAAATATAGGCAGGGTCACTAATGATCTTCACTAATTTCAGATTTTTTATGGGTATCGATGCAACATATCAATCTTAAATTATATTTATTGAAATAAATAATTAACTAAATAGAATACTATTTTTTTTTAAATTGAACCTCAAGACTAGCTCTACACTGAAATAGTGCTATTTTTTTAATATTTTTATAAAAAATATATAAAGCACTAATAATTAATATTTATTAGTATTTTTTTATTTTTGTTAAAAAAAAATTAAAAAAATAGCTTTATTCCAGTATAAAGCTGATTTAGAGCTTCAAGTTAAAAAAAAATAGTATATTATTTAATTATTTATTTATTTCAAAAAATGTAATTTTATTTTAGTAAAATTTATAGTGATAATCATATTAATTTGAAAAAACAATTTTTGATACTATCAGGATTTTGAGCATCGGGATTTTAACTATATAAAACAAAATCCTATTAGAAAATCTGCAATTAGTGATGATCACTATTAACCGAGCCTATGTTTGATTTAATAGGCCATTACACACCTTAACTAAAAGTGGTTTTTTATGCAGTTTTTTTAAGAAATAAACAATCTTTGAAAAAATAAACGAGCTTTCCTGATCATGTTACATTACACTGATTTTTGAAATATTATACCAGTACGATCACATGAAATATGGAAGGATGGTTCCGTTCAACTTTTTGGTATGCTATATTTTTCTTGATTCAATGCCACAAAAACAAATTTAGCAGAAATAAGACAAAAAAATAGATAGTTAATAACCTATTTTACAAACTGTCAAAGTAATTCAGTAATCCACTAAGTAATTCGGAAGTTATATGAGAGGTATGCTTTAGCATTTAAGCTTAACCTATAGGTGCAAAAAATCATTAAGCTCAGCATTTTAAGTCATCTTTATTTGTGAAAATTTATTCTTCATAACCCAACTATGATTATGCAAAGTTAATTTTCTGAATTTAATGATAAAAACCTCTTCTGTATTAGATGAGTCACAGAAATAATTATTTTATAAATTGTATATAGAAGATTTTTTATTCGTGACAATTTAGTTAAAATTTCATTATGAGATGATTTACGAAAATTGGCCAATCACAATGAAAGCCTGCTATATTATATATAAATTTTAATAAATATTATATTTAATATGTATAATAATTAAAATAAATAAGTAATAATATCAAATAAACAAGCTGTTAAAAAATAAAATTTTTTAGTATTTTTTAGAATTAGGATTAGAGTTTTGAATAGTGTTTGTAATAAACAAATATACTTACAAATAATAATATAATAATATAATAAATAATTTAAAAAATATCATTAAATAGATTTATAATATAAGTTACATTTTTTTGAAAATAGTATTAAGTCTGCTTAAATATTGTATTATTTATTATCTAAATTAAAATTTTATAATTCCCGTAACGAAGTCACGGGTTATAAGCTAGTATATATATAATATAAATATAAATATATTATATAATATTAATAAACAAAAACAAAAAGCGCGTAGCCACCAGCCGAGGAACAAGGGAATAGAAGTTCCTAGTAAGTTAGGAACCCCAAGTGAGGCCAAAGGCTACTGAGACAGGTCACGTTGGCGATTTATCGTTGGCGAGTCTTTGCTGTTGGTTGAACTATACGACTGTAGATAGAAAATTTGTATAAATTTTTTTGAATGGTCAGTTCTAAATAAAGCAAGGGCAGGAATGCCGAAGTATAAAAAAAAAAAAATAAACAAAAACAAGATTAAAAAAATTCTATTAGAATTAAAAAAAGAATCTAAATTTTAAAATTATTTTTTATATAGGCCAAGTGGCTTTTTTAGCATAATTTTGGTTTATTATAATCTGTAACAATTAATATTATACTTTATAATATTATAATTTTTAACTTTGTTTCTATAGCAATAATATATTTACTATAAATAAGTATCGTCTTTCTCTATCCCATTTTTTAAATATCAGATTAGTAAGAAAAATTGGCTAAAGATCTTGTTGCAATTTCCACTAAGGTCATACAAATTTAATTAATTGTTCCTCATAACCCGGCCGGGTCAAATTTTTATGTTTTAATAGTCGGCCGGTCGGGTCATTTTTAAAATTTTATATTATGAGAAACAAAAAACTAATTTTATATGACCTAATCTGATATTTTAAAAAATAGAATAAAGAAAATGGAAATTATTTACGGTAGAATACGGTATATTGTAATTACAAAGATAATTATACAATCCGACCCTCTAAGTGCATCTCTGTAAGTACAATGTTCTGGCACAAATATATACTTGACTTCTATAAATGCACTCTTTCTTATTCTCTAAATGCACGTTGTTAAAGTATGATCCCAAAGGCATGCACTTAGAGAGATCTGACTATATAACAAAATAAAACCTAAATTGTTAGCTAGTAAAATTTGCATTTATTGGTTATTTTAGATAAAATTTAAATATAAAATACAAACTGTATTTATTAAGTATCGATATAAATATGCTCTTACTATAACATCAGCTAAACGTTGTGTGCAGCGTTAAGAATCATAAAAAGCTAAGAAAGGTAATGCAAGAATTACACCGGTTACCCACATAAAAATTAAATTTGCGCTACAAATTTGACATGCAGATTTGACTAAAGGTGAAGTATAATTGTAATTTGCAGGACAGAGGAGAGGAATATCCATTTCTTTGAATGTAATCGTTGTATATGTACCTTTTTCATGAAATTTAAGAAGATTGAAAGAAGTTAAAAGCTGACTGCATATATGAGTGCTATCAAAGAAAACCCAACTTCGGAGCTTCATTATTTACCGGACTCGACCCCTGAGAAACATGATCGCCGGTTTATATCTAATCAAATGAAAGCTCGAAGCCCTGTTTTTTTTTTTTGATGGCACTCAAACACAACACTTACATAGAAGAGAAAACCATGTGAGAATACAGAGTCTTAAAAAATGAATTTAGAACTATATTATCGTTATAACACATTTAAACGAACATAAATAGCTATATAATTTTAAAATATTATATATACCCTATAATGATGAATTGAACAGTTGGTCCTATAATGGATGAGGATGAATCATCTCGAAGTAAAGTGTAAGCCATGCCTGAAATCGTAGCTGTGTAATTTCAATAGTAAATTATATATTATATAACGAATACTGTAGTTAATTATAGATTGTTTATTTTTGCAATCTCGTTTATAATTTATAGCATAACCTACTTATCAAAATAATTAAAAGAGCTAGGTAACTAAATTTATAAACAAATTAAATAAACAAATGTCAGCATTCGATAAGTTTTCTTTAACAATTTAAACCTTACAAATAGTCAATCCAACTCAAGTGCAATCCAGCTTTCTTAAATGCTGAGATTTTAGCAATTTCTGGACAATAGAAATATTTATATTATTAATTGTGAAGAATAAATAAACGCCAAAACTTGAAACTTACGTAGAATTGGGCAAATAATTAGCATTAAAGAAATTATCGTGATTATGCAACACAGAAAGTAAGATAAACCGGTTTCAAAATATTTATAATATTTATTTGATTTCAAACTCATTTTCTCAATATTGATATAAGTAAAAAATTTTTTTCATAAGGTAATGAGTGTTACTTTATATAATTATTCGATCATGGCATATGAGGCTTTTTATTTTAATGATAAACCTCTCAGCCTTGTCAATATCATTGCTATATATATATAGATAGTATAATTACTTTGATATTTACTAATCTTTAGTTCAAATAAACGGATAACATTAGATCTATTTTATCCATTAGTGGCTGATTCCGATGGAGCCAGATAAAGATTAATTTTCTTATCGGCTGATCTGCACAGTCTGACAACTGATCTAGCGTTACCAACCTAAAAAATTTCGCTACAAAAATTTTGCTATTAGATCAGGATTAGGTTTTGCTATTAAGTTAGGTTATAAAAAGTTTTAGTAGTACCAAAATTTCGCAAGGAAACCCTTTTGTTAGTGCGCAGAAGGTGGTTTCATAGATAAAATGTTGAGTTACAGGCGATTTTTTGGTTTGTTTTGATTTTTTGCGTTTCTTCTGCGTCACACCTGATCTCGAAATCTGATTGGCCAGTGAAATTTTTTAGGTTGGTCCCCGCTATTTTAGGTAGTGTTCCCCGGTAATTTTGACCAATCAAAATTTAAGATCAGATGTCAAAACAAACGTGTTTTGTTTTTAAAAGTAAAAAAGTTACGTGTAAAATAAAAACCTAGAAAATCTGTTGTAATTAGGGTTAGAATTAGAAAAATATAACATTTATTAATAAAACGTTATGAGGAACATTTTTAATTAGGCCGCAGAAAGCGGTTTCCTAATTATAAATTAGTTATTCTTGTTTTTTTGTTACACCTGATTTTGAAATTCGATTGGTCAAAATTACAAGAGTAAACAATTTTTTGTAAAAGAGCTAGGGGTGTCAGTAACACTAGAACTAAAAATTACTAAATAAGGGTTCTGTTAAAGCCAGATACCAACATAACTTTTATATATAGATAACTAGAGTGTTAGATACTAATAATTTACTATTATAATATAGCATTATTTTTTTATTGATATTAAGATAACCTTTTAGCCATCTCTTTTTATTTAGTTTAAGTTAACTTTATTGTATGATTAATTACTTTTTTTAGAACAGTTTGTACAGTATATATATTTGAAGAGTATATATTAGAGTTGTTAATAAAACTAAATTGTAGTGATAAAACTGGTGACTATCTAAAATTTGATTAGCTATTGAATACAATAGCCAATCAGATTTTAGATAGTTACCAGTTTCATCAATACAATTTAGTTTTACTAGTAACTCTAGTATATACTAGCTATATGTATAACTTTTAATTGTTTATTTAAGTAGTTTGCTTATTGTTAAGTTCTACTATATATTAGATATTATATCTCTATTTAAACTCTTTGCATCTATAGAGTTATCTTTATAATTTAGTAAAAGTATTAATATCATCTTATTTTCAAATATCTGGTTTAGGACTTTAAAACAGCCTTAACTATTTTAAGAAGCTCTTTATTCTCAAGAGTAAACCTGTTAAAGCTTTTTGTATTCACAATTTAATTAATCTAGATTTTAATAATTTATATCAAATCTAAAGACAAATATTTGCAATTAGCTTTTCAATCTTTGCTACTATTATCTTTTTTTTTTTTTAATATTAAGAAAATCACTTTAGGGTCCAACACATTTATTATTTGCAAATTAAGTCAAATATCAGCTTGGTCTTATTAACCTTATTTAACTTTATTATATTAATAAGAGTATAATTGGTTATATATACAACTTTAGTTATTATCTATTTAAGAATTCTACTATTTCTATTTCTACCTATAGTTATCTACTAATTGTTATATCTAAGATCTGTATATAGATCTCTAATAAATTCTCTAATCAATTTTGTATTATCAGATATTTTTACTACTATTTAACTGCTACTAAGGCCCTTTAGAATTATTTTATTCTTATAATAAATCTACCAGAGCAGTTTATATTTTATATATATATTACTTGGATTTTTAATAACTTATACCCAATCTGAAAACTGATACTTGTGATTTTTTACTTTTGCTACTATTATCTACTCTTTGTCTTTGCAAAGTTTATTCACTCTTAATATTTTTCTTTAAGTCTATCTAGTATCTTTTCTATCAGTATCCTGTAGTTAATCTTTTTAGACTTTTAATTTAGATAGCTTAGAAGAGATACTAGTTATTTAATATTTACAATGCAAATCTTTTTTTTCTGATTAATATTCTGATAATTTGGTTGGTAAAGTACTTTTGTTAAATATCCAGTTTTCATTTAGTTATATTAGTTTAGATATAGTCTATTCTAATAACACTATTAGAAGCTTGTTCTATTTCTTTACTTAAAACTTGTCAAGCAAAATATGTCTCTTTAGTTTTTTAACTTTTATCAAAAAATTTTTTAAATAAATACAAATTGATATATATTAAATAATCGATAGATAGCAATTAAAATATAATAATATATATCAACAAACTAGTTATGAATTAATACATATTAAAAATTAATATATATCAATTTTATTGATATATATTAATATTCAAAAAGAGTATAGAAAAACTTTTTCTGCTGATTTACAATTTACAATAAATTTCTAATTAGCTAAAACCAAAAACAACAATTTTTCAAGAAACTAATATAAGAAACAAAGCTTTTTGTACTAAAAAAAAAGGAGAAACACTATTACAAAAACTTTAAAGCTAGCAACAAAATTAAAGCTTTTGAAAATTTTTTGAAAATTTTTAAAAATTTTTAAAAACTTATCTAGATCCTGAAAATCTGATCCCAGAGATGTATAAATAACAATAACAAAACAAATACATAAGATCATGTAAACAAACAAATAAACCAGTAATATACACAGGACATTTTGGGACATAGTGTTTAGATATTTTGAGACATTTTAACAAAAAATAAAGCTAATTTATTCAAAATTTTATTATAATAATCTGTTTTAATCTTCTAAGTAAAGTTGTAGAGCATTAGACAAAATATATAATCATATATTTTTTATAAAAATATTTTAAATAGTTAAAGCTAAAATTAATATTTCAGATTTTAAACATTTTCAAAAAAGTGACAGGACAGTCAAAACGTATATTACTGAATAAACAGTAGATCACAGTACTACTTTTAAATATAGCAGAAATAACAAATCAACAAACAATTCACATGACTAGTAACAATAATAACAACAACATAATAAAAATAACAAATATGGCTAATATCTATAAATAGAAGTAAATTTTCTAAAAAACTTATTATAGTAAATATAGACTCTATAACAACAAATCTAGAATTTAGCCTAACTAAGAAAAAAATTAAACCTAAACTTGATAGATGTAAATATAGCAACTTTAAAGAAAATTAAGAGTGTCTTTGTATTGCCAGTAGAAGTAAGACAGAAAATATGTAATATACAAAAAGAGATATATTCTTCAAACAAACAAAAGTGTAGTTAAGTTTTTGAAATTAGAGGATCCAGAATTTGTATCATTCATGTATATAGTATTAGAGAATTACAAATCAGCTTTTTAACAATTCTCAAGAGAAGATAAATTAAATGCTAAAGATTAAGAATTAATTGATATAGATCCAAAGACCAAAACAATTGACTTGGAAATCATGTTGCAAGAAGACTTTAAGAAGAAAATAATAATATCTTTCTAGAACCAAAAGTGAAAAAAAAAAATACTATTAGTTCAAGACAGGATAGTAATAGAAGAACCTATAGCTTTACTAATTAATTATAAAGTAATACAGAAAAGAAAATATACGGTTATAAAAGATATGAAAAAAAAGCATAAAGAAAAACCTAAACCCAAGTGACAAGACAATAATATAGATAAAATAGCAGAAGCAATTTTGAATAAATTAGAAAAAGAGATACATGGATCTAAATAGGCACCTAAAATATTAACAAATCAATTTGAACTTCAGAAAATAAATTTAAAGAAGAACTATTAAAAAAAAAAAGCTACTGAGAGAAGAAACTTTCAAGAATCTGATTAATAAAAAAATAACCCAAAGCTTTAAATCAGAACTTAAGTTAACTTTATGGGATTTACATTAGCAAAATATATAAACATAATCTTACGAAAGTTATTACGCCCCAAAAAAATTTGCAATAATTACAATCAACACAAAATATTTTGAAATTTTAATTACAAAATATTACGAAATATATTACAAAATATTATAAAATATATTATGAAATATTACAAAATTTGTTATGAAATATTTCGATGAGATTCGAACTAATTCGAATTTATTTAAAATATATAAAATTTACTACTTAACTAGACAGTATTAAAAAAACTTTTATAAAATAAATGAAATAGTAAATTAATAATTTAAAAAATACGAATATGATCAAATTTATCAAAAATATTTTAAATAATTTTTAATTTTTTTTTATTTAAAATTAATTAAATATCTAAAAATATAATAAAATAAAATATATTCGTATAGTATATTTTTTCGATTTATTTTGTTTTTTCAAATTTTTTTGAATTATACTGAAATTAATAACCAAAAAATAATTT